AGGAGGAGGAGGAGGAGGAGGAGGAGGAGGAGGATGGAGGGGTGGAACGAGGACGGAGATTGGGAGATGATGGAGGACTTTAGGATCGGGAGGCGGCGGAGGAGGAGCAGGAGGAGGTGGAGGAGGACGGGTCGCCTAAGCCATTCTGAGAAACCCTCCCCCCCCCAGGACCGAAATACCAGAGGAGGACAAGGCTTATGTTGCTCCCATCGTACTTGAGGGCTACGTCACAGAAATAATCTCGAGCACCCAGAAGAAGTATCGAGGCAGCGCCGAGCGAGTATCGCCTCCCGGGGCCCGACGCGTGAAAACCCTCGAGTTTCGGTGCCTTCCTGGTGCTCGAAATGTGTTCGAGGTGATCAAGGCTAAGGTAGGTTGGAATGGAACATCATCAGGCTGGCCTTCCGGAGGCCTCCAGGACCCGCCATCGGGCCCCAGGATGGCATCACTCGGGGATCTTCTGACCCCGGTCAATCCAGACCCCGGTCAGCTACAAACCAAAAAGCTGCAATGCAGGGAAAACAAAAACTGCAACGCAGGTCTTCGCAAATCCGGGTCAGTCACTATGCGCGGCCGCCTCGCGGCCACGGGCGGCTCGCTAACCTGGGTCAGCCAGAGGGGGTCTTCGCAGGATCCTGCAGGATGCGGTGTCCTGGCTGACCCCCGTTTGCATTAGGGGGCCACATGCGAACCCTACCCCTAGTTACTTACCCTCCACGATTTCTGAAGGGGAAGGTGGGGTTCACTTCGTGGTGGGTAGGGGTAGGGTTCGCATCCTCCCCCTCACCGAGCGAAGTGAACCCCACCCTCCCCCTCAGAAATCGTGGTGGGTAGGGGTAGGGGTCGCATGTGGCCCCCGTTTGCACTGACCCCCGTCTCAAGGCTCCCGAATCACACAGCACCCGTCTGCCCCGGGCTTGCGAGAAGGCCATCGGCGCCTGGGGCCTGGGAGCCGGCAACACAGATCCCCTTCAGGCACTGCTCCCCGCAGCCGCCAGACCCCGAGATCCGACGCGGCGAAAAAGAGGCGACATCGTGAAAGTCCGCGCCCTGAGCCCCGGACCCCATCTCTCTGCGCCGCTCTTCGAGCCAGATCGATACATGTGAGGGTCCCGGGGCCCGAAGAAAGGCGAAACGCCACAGGCTCGAAAAATGGAGCCGCCAGGACCTCAGGGGAGGAGAAGGAGGAGGAGGAGGAGGAGGAGGAGGAGGCGGAGGAGGAGGAGGAGGAGGAGGGAAGCGAAGAAAGAAGAATGTAGGAGGAGGGGAGGAGGAGGAGGAGGAGTGAGGAAGAGGAGGAGGAGGGAGTCAGGAGCGGAGGGAGGAGGAGGAGAGGAGGAGTGAGGGGAGGAGGAGGAGGAGGGGAAGCCCCGCAGGGAGCCTCGGGAGGGGCCCCCCGGGCGCGCGCCTCACGGGGACCCCAGCAGGCCCGCAGGTGCCGCAGCGCCGCGGCCCAGGGCCCGCCCCAAAAGACGGCAGGCAGGCGCAGGGCCCCGGCAGCCTATAGCCCTCCCCCCCTTCGAGAGAAAACGGCGGCAGGCAAGCAGACGCTGGGCCACCCCCTGGTACCTGAAGAAAGTTAGAACGCCCGAAGAAGGAGGAGGAGGAGGAGGAGGAGGAGGAGGAGGAAGAAGAGGAGGAGGAGGAGGAGGAGGAGGAGGAGGAGGAGGGAGGAGGAGGAGGGAAGGGAGGAAGGGAGAGGGACTAGGGGGGGAGGCGGGGCGGGGGGGCAAGCGCGGAGCTACGGGAGGGGGACGGGGGGAAGAGGGGGATGGGAGTGAGGGGGGGAGGGGGGGGGGGGAGGAGGGATAGGGGGGGGGGGAGGGTGTGGGGGAGGAGGGAGGGGGGGGTAAGGGGGGCAACTTGACTCTGAGTGCTCGGCCAACGCTTGTTTAGTTTCTTTTTCTTTTTTTTTTATATTTGTTTTTTGTTTTTTTTTTTTTCCCTTCCCCATCTCCTCCTCCGCACGGCATCCCGTCATTAGTTTGGATGCCCGACATGGGAACGGAAAAAATGGGTACAGTACCCAACATCAAGTGTTGTCCCAAACCAACCGCGGCCGCTGTCAGGCAGGCGGCCTTCTGTCCCGAATGGACACAGGCCGCGGCGGCGTGGACAGCGAGTCTTGTTCAAAATGATCAGGAACTGCTGTTGGGTATTGTACCCCTTCTTGCCGTACCAATTTCGTTCGTGCCGAGAAAACCTCTGCCGCCTCCCTGATGGTGGGATCGGAGGATCGCCCGCCGCATCGGCGACGCCGGCGTGAAGGAAGTCGGACCCCATCTGGGAAGCCTAGACATTCCGCCTTCCCCTCCATTGGGGAAAACAAAACAGGTACCAATACCGCTACCCCCCGGACCTCTCCCGGGGTGCGTTCGGGCCAGAATTGCAAGGCGAATCCAGCGGTGGCGACGAGGGCCTCCCAGGAGGCCCAAAAAGGGGAAAACGGCCGCAGGGTAGAGGCCTCCTCTGATCCTTGTCCTCCGCATCCTCCCTACCCCCCGGGCAGCGGGCTGCGAGGGGCGGTCCTGCTTGTCGGGACCGCCGCACGGCCGCGTCTCCTCGCGGGGTCCCGGGTGGCCAGGCGCCGGGGTGGCGGGTGGCTTGGCCAGCGCAGCGCAGGCCCACACAAAACTGCTCAGCCTCGTCCGCCCTGTAGCGGCACGTCATGAGGAGCATCCTGGGGGCCTCGAGCGGATCCACGTCGGATTTACATGGGTTTCACCTCGGACTACGTCGGAATTACGTCGAATTTACGTCGGACTGACGCCAGAGCATCGCCGCGTCAGCGTCGACCCATAGCTTACGGAGCTGACGTGTGGACTAGATAATACAATTGCTACGCGCCGCGCGAGGCCTCCAGGATTTTTCTCATAAAGTACGCTGTGCTGGCCATCCTGCCCTCCACTGGAGCCGTGCTCAGGCCTTGCTCGAGTAGGGGATCAACTACAGAATTGATTTACCCGAAATTGATGTTTCGCCGCATCTAGAGAGGAAAAAAAAACGCTAGTGGACTGCTACGTATTCCTTCAGCGATTCGACGAACAAATTGGGGTACATAAATTCTGCATTTGATCTCCTACTCGACTTGTGCAGATGCAGCAGCGCACTAGCACACATCCGAAGATGGTGCAGACCCCGAGGGGCCCCATCCCCTCACCAGAGTGGCGGCAGAATGACTACGATGGCAAACATCGATGCATCTCCGGATTGCGAGAGAGACATCAGCCAGTAGCGAGGATAGAATCTACGAGCGTGAACGGCTTGCGGCAACGCAGGCAGCTCGGGAGAACGCTCCTCCTCGGCGCCTCATCCTCCTCCTCCTCCTCCTCCCTCTCCTCCTCCCTCCTCCTCCTCCTCCCTCCTCCTCCTCCTCCGCCTCTCCTCCTCCTGCTCCTCCTCCTACTCTCCTCCTCCTCTCCTCCCTCCTCTCCTCCTCCTCCTCCTCCTCCTCCTCCTCCTCCTCCTCCTCCTCCTCCTCCCCCCCTCCCCACCCTCTCTCCTCCCCCTCCTCCGAGGGAGTGTGGAATGAGGCAGGATGCAAGAGGAAGGCGCAGCGGAGAAGGAGAAGGGAAAGAGGTGGTGGAAGTTGGAGGCAGGGAAGGGCAGGGGCGACGAGAGGATGGGCAGGCGCGGGAGGGGCAGGGCCCGAGCGCTGGAGAGGAGCAGGATGGAGCAGGAGGAGGACACGTCAGGCTCCTCCACTCTCCCCTTCCCCCTGCCCCCCTCGGCTATACGCAAGAGTGACCCTGGGTAAGAGTGACCTCTGGTGCGCGGCTTTTTGGGTGCCGCGGGGGGACCAAACCTGGGCGCGCAAGCAGCTGCTACTATTCCGTCGTCAGCCATCTGGGGACCCATCTGTGCCCGCACCAAAGGTCACTCCTGTGAAAGGTCACTCTTGCATCTAGTCGACCCCCTCATCTCCCACACTACCGGTCTGCTCTGCAGCACCATGGAGCCCCTGCGAACACTGATCCCATGGCAGCATGCGCCGCCGTGCCCCGAGGCCAGTCCCGTCCTCAGGATTGAGCAAGAAGGGCCCCGGACTACACATTCTCACATGTTCCGGGGCTCCCGGCGTGCCCGCGGTTCCCCGACGCTTCCCGCATCACATGATCGAAGCCGCGAGAGCGCCCAAAAACGGGCGACGAGGGCTTCCCAAGCTTGCAGATCTACGACCCAGACACGGCGGCGGGATAGGCCAACCGAAGGCCAGTAGATGTCATCGACCTCCCCTCTCCTGCTCCTCCTGCTCCTCCTCCTCCTCCTCCTCCTCCTCCTCCTCCTGCTCCTCCTCCTGCTCCTCCTCATCCCTCCTCCTCCTCCTCCTCCTCCTCCTCCTCCTCATCCTCCTCCTCCGCCCTCCCTCCTCCCCCTCCCCTCCTCTCCTCCTCCTCCTCTCCTGCTCCTCCTGCTCCTCCTCCTACTCCTCTCCTCATCCTTCTACTCCTCCTCCTCCTCCTCCTCCTCCTCCTCCTCCTCCTCCTCCTCCTCCTCCTCCTCCTCCTCCTCCTCCTCCTCCTCCTCTTAGTAGTAGACGGGGTGCCGAGGCTGGGGCGCGCAGCATGGTGCTCTCCAAAGCCCATACCAAGGCAGCCCGCCGCAGCCGCCGACGTCAGCTTTGGACACGACTCGGATGGGTCGGCCTGAAGCTCGTGTTGATTATCTTGCGTAGCTGTGTTCTAGAGCGCGGACCTCTTTATGGTCGTCGTTCGTTCGTTCGTCACTCGTCCTCCCCCCGGGGCCACGGAAGGAAACTCCTGGAGGAAGGAGGCGAAAGAGCCTTCTGTCCCTCGCAGCTCCTTGAGGTGCAAAAACCAGGGCACGCGTGCCACTTTTTTTGGTTGAAGCGCAGTGCGATCGGCGGCGAGCCCCGGAAGGGGGGGGGGAGGTGGAAACGAGAACGGGGCGGGCCTCCTCAGAAGGCTCGGAAGTCCCCTGGCCTTCGGAGCACTTTTCCGCGCCTTCCCCGAGGACAGAGGGGACAGACGTCTCGGAGGGCGCGAGGGCTTCTCCGCGGAGGCCCGCCGCCCTCCGCGGAGGCCTCCTGCCGCTCCCTGTTCCCCCCTCCTCGCCCGCCGCCGAGACTCGGCATGGAACCAGTATGAAAAAAGCGGGCGCCGCGGACGGGCCGCGGCACTGGGGCACGCCGCGGGACCCGGGGCCGGTCGCGGGGCGGGTCTCGCCGCGCGGGGCGGGGGGTCGCCGCGCGGGGTGTGCCGCGCGGGGGTGTGCCCCGCGGGGCGGGCCCTCGCCTCGCGGGGCGGGCCGCGCCTCGCGGGGGCGTGAGGGCGGCCCTGCCCGGCAAAAGCGAGCGGGCAAAGTCTCCACGATGGCGGCCAGAGGGGGCCTCGAAGCTCACGAGCCGGCCAGAGCCGTCGCGCGCGCTCCGCGCGCGTCTTCTGGCACCCTGGGAGCCTCGTGCGTCCTCGCGAGCTCGGGCAAGTGCAGCTCGCCTCGGGGAGGTTCTCCAAACTGGTTTGGGCGCCTCCTGGGCTGCCTCGGGGCTCTTTCGGAACCGCTTTGGACTTGTCATGTGGGAGCTCTCTTGAACAAGATCGGGCTCCTCTTGAGCCGGCTAAGGTTTCTCTTGGCCGTCGGGCTGCCAGGAAGATCAGGGCTGAAGATCAAAGGGGGGACGTGGGGAAATATCATGGGGGAGGGACGGGAGATCTGGCGAAAGATCTGGGATAAGGTATCGAGAGCATTCGATGGGAAATCTGGAGGAATACCTGGGAGAAGATCTGGTTGGAGACCAGAGAAAATAGCTAGAAGACGAGCTGGGGGGACGATATAGTGGAGAGATCTAGATGAAGATCTGGGAACAGATCTTGGGGGATATCTCGCATAAGATCCCACCAGCCCACTCGCCCCCTCCCACCAGCCCACTCGCCCTTTATGGCGGAGGTGGATTAGGCCGCTTCATCTTCCACACTCCTCTTCTGCCCCTTCGGGGAAGGGCTTCTTTCTGTCCGTAGTAGCAGACACCCTCTCCCCCACTCGCCCAGCCGCCGACCCAAAACCATGCCCCCAAATCCAGAAAGGGTCCACCATTCTGCCGCAAATTGTAAGCTGCATTGGAAAATAAACTTTGCGGGAAAAGATTTGACCATTCGCGGGATCCCCGAGATCGCTTTGGACTGTGTATGACAGGTACGGCGTTTTTTTCCGCATATTGTCCGCTGCACGCATGCCCAATATCCATGTCAAAACACATTCACGGTGACTATTGCGGGTGCACGTAGCATAAACCATGATGACCACCCCGCCGCCGTTTTACTTTGGCCATTGACAAGGACGGTTGTGGGGGTGTCCACGTGTTTCTCGATGTGTGCCGTGATGTGGAACTGGGAATTCCAAAAAGTACCAATACCGCCATTCCCCGGACCTCTCCTGGAGTGCGTTCTGACCAGAAATTTCGATGCGGATCCAAAGGCCTCCCAGGAGGCCTTTAAAAAGGGAAAACGACAGAAGGGTAGCGGTATGGGTACATGTTTCCTTCTCTCTGCAATGGCGCACCCCTTCCTGTTTCCTCCTGTTCGCAGTGTACATGTTTCCTCCTCTGTGTCCTCCTCTATGCATGTTTCCTCGACACGTTTCGCGCGTCGCGCCATCTGCGCAGTTGCACCGCGTGGCGCATGTGGCGCGGGCCGCGCGCCCGACGAGACTGGCATTCGCGGCGCGCCGCGCCAGCGTTGCCAGGAGCTGTCCATCCGACTGCGACCGCTGAACATTTGCTGGGACACGCGTGTCTGAGTTGGGAGTCGCGCTCAGCTCACGTAGCTTGTCTTCCTTAGCCTTACTGTGGGTCCGTGCGCACCGAAGGGCGCTCTGGGAGGCTCACTGAGAACACCCCCTTCACTCTAAGCCAAAACCACAGGAAACATGTTGTTCCAATATTCTGGCGCAAGATTCGCCACCTTGCCCGTGTTGAATCGCCTCCCTGGAGCCTCAGTCCTCAATTCTGACGGTTCTCTCAAGGGCCCAGGCCCCAAACTGCCAGAATTTCTCGGGCGCTGTCGCATGCGTTTCGGAGCCAAGAGAGCCCCAAGACGGGCCAAGAGTGCCCCAAAGGGCCCCGAACCGCTGAAAGATCAATACAAGACGCCCATGATGGCCTCCAGTCGGCCGGAAACGCGCCCAAGGCATCGTACGAGGCCTCCAAGAGCCTCCCAAAGAGGACCCCGAGAGGTCAAAATCACTGATGTTCCTTCAATGTTTCAATGTGTTTGGGGTTCTCCACTTTCCGAGCTTCCGACGCTCCAAGACGTTCCAAGAGGTCCCCAAGACTGCCCCAGAGGCACCCAAGATCTCCAAGACGGCCCAACAGGGCCCCGAGAAGGCCCATGAGGCGCCCAAGACGGCCCAAGAGGGCCCCAAGACGGCCCCAAAATGGGCCCAAGAAGGGGAACGTGATCCGAAAATCCCATATTTCCGCTGAAAAAAAACCGAGGCACTAAGAGGCCCCCAAAGGCCCTCAAGCGGTCCTCAAGAGGGGCTAACGGGGCCCCAAGAAGGCCCCAAGAGGCCCTGAACCAGCCCACCAGAGGCTTCCAAATTGCCTCCAGGAGGCCCCTGAGAAGCCTCGACGAGATCCCAACGAAAATGCAAAAGGCCTCAGACCCACAACCCAGGCACAGTAGCGGGATGGGCCGAAGGCAATTAGACCTGATTGGCACGGGGACGGAAACCGCTCGTACTCTGTGAAGGTGCGGGATCGCTTGCTCAATATGGTGGGGCCCTTTTGGTGTTAAGACTTTGGTACATCACACAAAGACCTAGCAAATAATCTTGCGATTCCCAATGGATATGGCCTCTTCAAGCCTTCTTGGAAGTCCTTTTGGGGCTCCTCTGGGCAGTCTTGGAACCCTCTTGGGCCGTCATGGGGCCTGCTTGCGCCGTCTTGAAGGGCTTGGCTTGGACAGTCTTGCGGCCGTCTCGGCGCCCTCTCGGGCCCTCTGGGGGGCCTCAGGTGGCCCTCTTGGGGGTCTTGTGGTGCCCTCAAAGGGACTCTCTTGGGCCGTTTGGGGGCCCTCTTGGGATGTTTTGGAGCCCTCTTGGGCCGTCTTGGGGCTGTTTTGGGGGCCTGTTGTCCTGTCTTGGGGCGATCATTGAGGTCTCTTATGCCGTCGTGGACGCCGTGAGGACCAAAGACGCAGAAATGTTAACATGCATGTTTCCCAAAAAGGAATGGGACGATGTTTGCCTCTTGGGCGTCCTTTCGGAGGCCTCGTGGATCGTCTTGAGGGCCTCTTTGGCAATTTTGAAATCATCTTGGGCCATCTTTGAGCGCGCTCGGGCCGTCTTCGGGCCCTCTTGGGCCTCCCTGAGGCCGTCGAGGAGATAACTTGGGTGTCTTGGGGCTGTCTTGGGCCGTCTTGGGGCCCTCTAGAGCACTCTTGGGACTGACTTGGGCCGTCTGGGCGGGCCGACCGTGACCGAAAATTGGGCGATTAGAGCTGGGACCGCCGAGGTCAACCCCCTCACACTCCCCCTTGTCATTTCTCCCGGCCAACGGATCGCGACGCTACGCGTCCTTTCCGCCATCCGCCGCCCCCGGTAGCTTGCCACAGGGGTGCACGGCGTGCTAAATGCCTGGGAGGTTTTTTGTCTGCTGGTGAAGAACTCGCCCTGGGGCTTCGGCCCAGCCCGCCGGCCGCCCGGAATCCCCCCCCCAAATCCAATCCCATTGGCTGGATCGCCTCCAAGACAACCAAGATGGCATCCGAGGTGCCTCCAATCGCCGAGCTCCGACTTCCTCCTGCTCCCTGCTCCTCCTCTCCTCGCGCCCTTCCTCCTGCGTCGTCGTCGTCGTCGTCGCCGTCGTCGTCGTCGTCGTCGTCGTCGTCGTCGTCGTCGTCGTCGTCGTCGTCGGCGTCGTCGTCGTCGTCGTCGTCGTCGTCGTCGTCGTCGTCGGCGTCGGCGGCGGCGGCGGCGTCGTCGGCCGTGCGCGGGCCGAGCCTCCAGCCCACCGGCGCAGGGCTCCCCGCCCAGGCTGGGCGGCCTGTCCACCTCCCGCGCGCGGGTGGACTGGCCGAGGTCGTCCTCGCGGGCCGCGCGGAAGGGGGGGCCGGGCAGGGGGGGGGGGGGCGGGGGCCACCCGGGGCGACCTCCGCCCCTGCGCGCGCGAGGGGGGGGGGGGGGGGGGCGGGGCAGAAGCTGGGCGGACGAGAGCGGAGGGAGCGGAGGGGGGGGGAGGGGCATTCCATAGAGGGGAGGAAGTGGGCGAGCGGTTGGGGGTGGGTGGGGGGGGGGGGGGGGGGAGCGGGGGGTCGAGGGGGAAGGGGGGTGGGGGGGGGGGGATCAGGGAGGGGGGGGGGTACGGGGGGCGAGCGGGGGGGAGAGGGAGGGGGGCGGGACGAGGTGGGGGGCGGCCTTCCCGAACCACTAACTATGAAAAGACTCCTCAACTTACTTTATTACACACCCCACAGGATTGTCTATATTGTATTTTCGAACAAATTTCGCTCAAGGAAGTATCTTTTTTTAAAACATTTTTCCCCCAACCACCCACCCCAACCCTTCACATTAGTATACATTCACATCAACAGATCCCACTCAACCACTGTCCACTAATCAAAACTTACTAGATTGTATCTGTAAGCGCTTAATTGCAACTACATATTTTTTTTTCCCCACTTTTTCATGATATAATAACTCTCACACATCATTCAAACCATTCTCCCAGCAGTTACCTTAAACACCTACAAACCTCTTTTAACTTCTGGATGCACCACAACTCTCTTTCAAGTAATACTATTGAGATTATAAATCGTCACCCTCTTTTCCCTAAAGGCGGGGGAAAGGGGGGGAGGAGGAGGAGGAGGGGGAGGAGGAGGGGGAGGATGGGGGAGGAGGACGGGGAGGAGAGGTCGCGGCCTGCGACCCCAGGACGCCAGAGCGATCACGACGTGGACCCTGCACTCGCACCTTGGGCAGCGCGACGCCTGGCCGGGCCACCCGGCCCCGCAGGGCCTCCCCCGCCGACGGCAGCCGCGGAGGAGGAGGGGCAGCGAGCGAGCGAGGGGCCGGAGCGAGGAGGGACGGGGGCGCGGGCCCCGCGCTGCGTGAGGCGTGGGCCGCACCTGCTGGCGCTTGCTGGCGCCGCCCGCTCCAGCGAGCTCCGGCTCAAGCCGCCCGTGTGCTCGCCGACGGGGGGCGAGCACGAGTCCAGAACCCCCTCGCGCTGTCAAAGAGTCGCGGCGGGAAAATGTTCGTCCTCTTCGGCCTCCCGGGGGGGCCCTTCCCGGGCCACGGGGCCGTCAACAAAAAGGGCTCGAGCTCGGGATGGAAGACCAGTCCCCGGGCGGGGCCCAGACTGCTGAGGGGCACGCCACGGAAAACTCACGACGTCGGGGGCCTGGGGTCACAGCAGGAGAGGAGGGGAGGTGGAGCGGCGGGGCGGGGGGGGGGAGGGGGCAGGAGAACGGGCCCGAGGAGGGGCCGCGAGGATTACGGCGAAGGGTGAGCAAGGGAGATCACAGTTCGGCGGGACGGTATGGAAACACATTGTCGGACGTCCGCGCGGATTTCTGGGATCGGCGCTGGGCCCCCTCCCCCTGCGCGAGGGGCGGCGCTGGCGGCGCCGCCATGGGGGACCTCGGCCTCGATCAGAGAACTCCGCGCGGCCCTGCCAGAGTTCGTATGCATGCGGTTGCTTCGTCCTCGACGGAACGGATGCTGAGGCGAAGTTGCGAGGAGGAGGAGCAGGAGACACGAAGAGACCATGGCAGGGGGGCGAGGGATGGAGACAGAGGAGGAGGAGGAGGAGGAGGAGGAGGTGAAGGACAAGCGAGCGGGCAGGCATGGCGGACAGCGACTTCGGCAGAAAACAACGACGACGGCGGCGACGGCGACACAAGAACGACGACGGCAACGACAACGGCGACCAAAAACACGACGACGACGACGACGACGACCCCCAAAACGCCTACGGACGAAGAGGGCGGCTACGGCGGAGAGCAGCTGCGGTGGCGCAGATCTCCTCGCACGCGCTCCATTCGCCCCACTCGGTGAACGTGCAGTCCTGGGTGCGGCTCCTGCGGAGGCGCCCCCGTCCGGGCCGAGGTCCGCGGTTCTTTGTTGTTGCTGTGGGTGCTGCTGCTGTTGGTGTGGTTCGTGGTATTGTTGCTGCTGTTGTGGTTGTTGTTGTTGTTGTTGCTGTTGTTGTTGGTGTCGTTGTCGTTGTCGTTGTTGTTGTTGTTGTTGCTGCTGCCGCTGTTGTTGTTAGTGTTGTTACAGGTGCTGCTGTTGTTGTTGTTGTTGTTGTTGTCGCTGTTGTTGTTGTTTTTGTTGTTGCTGTTGCTGTTGCTGTTGCTGCTGTTGTTGCTGATGTTGCTGGTGTTGTTGGCGTTGTTTTGTTGTTGTTGGCGTTGTTTTGTTGTTGCTGTTGTTTTTGTGTTGTTGTTGATGTTCCCTCCGCGAGGGAACCTGCGGTGATTCAGAGCTCTCGCAGCGGGCGTCGGATCCTCCCCTGGGGCGTGCGTCAACTGTCGGCGATCCAGAGAGGGGAACCCGAGGGATTGGGCCCTCAGGGATCGGGTCCTGAGCTTGGGCCCTCAGGGCGAGAGGCCTCACAGTGAAGGTTCAGCTTGAGGTCCCAGGACGTGGCCCAATTCCTTGGGGGCGTCCAAAGGTGGGCGCCAGAGAGGGAGGTTCGCGAATCAAGGTCCGAGGCATGTGCGCGGACGAGGGGGGGGGCATGGGACGCATTGAAATAAGATTAGGTCGGGCGGGTCCCCCTACAGGCCGATTTTAGACGAAACATGAAACATACCTAACAAATATTCAAAATATCAAAAAAAATCGAAACATCGTCCCGAGACTATCTTTTGATTATCTTTGGGCAGTCCTCCTGTAGAGGGACAAGCCCGACTGAAGATTAAGAAGAGGGGCCACGACATCCGGTGAGGTGTCATAGCCCCACCCATGATGTGTCGCCGCGCCGGTGGTCTTCAGCGCGCCCCAGCAGACGAAAACGGCACCACGGCAAACATCCCACGGCAAACCTTGCGTCCGAGGCACGGCCTGCCCGGAAGGTCGGGGCGCCCTCCCCAAGACGCAGAGCGGCGCGTCGGGGCAAACGGCGCGGCGACATAGGCAGCCTGCAGCCCCCCCCGTCAGTACCCCCCCTCTGGGTCGGCCCCGAGCCACAGCCGGCGACTCCAAAGGGTGTGGTTTGCGAAAGGTGTGGTTTGCAACCGGCACCCTGGGGAACATCCTTGGGGGGCACCCTCGTGGGCGCGCGGGGACCTCGACAGAGTTCTCCCGCGCCCCGAGGGGACCCGGCGAGGACGGCGTCGTGCACCCCAGGCCCCAGCGATGCCGATCGCAAACCACACCCCAGCGTAACCGTACCCATTGTAGTCGCCGACACGGGGCCCCATCCTTGAGCCGCAGGAGCTGGGAAGGGCAAATCAACGGTGAACGACCGACGCATTCAGGCGGGTGGCCCCGATGAGGTCTGGAACTTTCGGATCGCGTGTCGCTGCGGCGACCATGGCGACACGCTGCGCACTGCACGCGGATAGCGCGTCGCTCCGCTCCGAGAGGCGGGAAACTTCGAACAACTCGAGGCGTCGACGCTTGGGAATGGGGGCGTGGATAGCGCGTCGCGCCGCGGGCCGAGGCGCGGTGGGCCAGAACCGGCGGCGCGACGCGCTAAGCCGAAGTACCTGACCATAACTAGTCATCTGCCCCCTCCATGCCGTCCTCGACCCCGAGGCCCCATCCTTGAACCGCAGAAGCTGGGGCTGGCAGGCCAACAGCAGGCGACCGACGGCTGCAGAGGGGGTGGACCTGATATTGGCGGCCTGCGAAGTGACACCAACACCAACTCAGGGGGCTGTCTCCACTGGGGGAAGATGATCTTAGGGGTTGGTGCTGTTGGTAACCCATCGAGCACTTCAGAAACCCAAGTATTCACATCATCGCCACGATCATGATCATATTCCCTCGGTGGAGGCAGCCGCCGATTTTGGGTGTTGGTGCCAAAACCAGGGAATCCGATGATAAGGGCCCAAGAAAAAAAAGCTGCCAACCCGCGTCCTGAAGTGCGCTGGACAGGCGAGGCTTTCTGTTTCCCGCCCCACCCCCGCCCATGTGCCAAGGGAAACTGCAGCACTGCTCAACGATGTGCTGCCAATCGAACCTGCAAGGTGGGCCGCTGCCATTTTCTTCTGCACATTCAACTGTGGTTTCGTCTTCACCTGTGGGTGCCCCTCCTCCCCCCCCCCCGCCCTCTCGTTCGCTTCCCCTCCGATGCCGGCCGCCTGCCTCTCGGCGGCGCCAGCCCGAGGCGGAGGGTCGCTCGCGGGCGCCAGGCGTGGCAGCGCCAGACGGCGGTGGTGATCCCCGCTGGTTCCGAGGTTGCTGTTGCTGTTGCTGCTGCTGCTGCTGTTCCTGATCCTGCTCCTGCATTTGCTCCTGCAGTTCCTCTTCCTCCTCTTCCTCCTCTTCCTCCTCCTCCTCCTCCTCCTCCTCCTCCTCCTCCTCCTCCTCCTCCTCCTCCCCCCCCTCCTCCTCCTCCCCCTTCTCCTGGGGGGGGGGAAGCGGAGGGGGAGGGAAGGATAGCGGCTGCTTCGGGGTACTTTTGCCGCTCGCCTTGACCTCACCTCGCGTTTTGCGTCTCGCGCCGCCTCGGGGGCCCTGGAGCCGAACGTGCGGAGGTGGACACGGGGAGGAGGCGAAGGACGAAGGAAAAACGAGGAGAAGGACGAACGGGACGGCAAGAAGGACGCAGGGAGGTGGATGCATGCTGGCTGGTTGGTTGGACCCTCATCGGACCTGCTCTTACGCCGCGGGCACGGCCACTTTTGTCGGGCTGCTGGGCGGCAGGCAGCGCAGAGATGTCCTGGCTTGGCCTCACCTCTGCCATCGCTTGAAGGCCAGAGAGCAGAAGAAGGGTTTCCAGGGCCTCCACCACGGCCGCTCGCTCTCGCAGCGACCCCAGAATGCTTACCCCAGCGTGGACCCCATGGCGGCTGTAGAAGACGCTGGCACTGGCTGGCTCCTGGAGGGCGCAGCGAGGACGCGAGACCCTCCCACAGGGCGACGAGGGCGACATGGGGGGAGCCCTGGAGCCGTAGATCCAGGAAGTGCGCGGTGCACGCCGCACGCAGGCGGGCCGCAATATCAGGGAGCCGACACCCCCGGCCTCCCCCGTCGACGGGAGGAAGCGGGCCCGGAGGCGCGCGCACCGACGAGCAGGGGAGAGGCAGCTGTACCTCGTCGCCCAGCGACTTGCCGCCAGCCGAGAGGGCGTGGAGCGCAGGGGGACGGGCAGGCCACCTCGTCACTGACGCGAGGACGAAGGAGGGACAAGGGGGGGAAAAGGGCCCACCCGCCTGGGCAGGGGAGCCGGGCAACAGCGCCCGCGACGACGCCGCCGCCGCCGCCGCCAACCGCGACGACGACGCCGACGACGACGACGACAACAACATCAATAATTTTAAAGACTGTTCGCTCCTATCTGCTCACGTGCCAATCAACACGTATATCCCACACCCTCGGTACCCGCCCTCGTCGTCTTCGATCGTACCCCCTTGGGGGTATATCTTCCTTACCTGCCACGTGCATTTAGTGCAGCCCCGAAGACAAGGGAGGAGAGGACGGGTGGACGGGGGAGGGAGAAGAATGGAGCACGAGAGAAATTAGCAGGAGGGGGGGCAAGGAGCAGAGAACAAGTGGTAGAACCAGACAGGCAGATCAGGTGGGCAGATCCACAGCGGGCAGATCGGGAAGGCGGGCCCAGGCGACAAGGTCGAGTAGGCGGGTTGCTGAAGCATGGGTCCTGCGTGAATCGCGAGGAAGTCTCGAGCGATAGCGCGATTCTCAAGAACATCGTGAGGAAAGCCAAAGCGAGAGCGTGATTACTGAGCGCCGAGGGCGCATCATCTAAATAAATTGAAGGGAAATCCCACGCGAGAGCGCGATGCGCACATGAATTGTGAGGAAGTCCCGCGCGAGAGCGCGATTTGGAAATCAACTGTGACGAAGTATCCGGCGGGAGCCGTTGTTGTTGTAAACCGGGGGCCAGGGGCCCGGTTCGAGCCGAGTGACCTTCTCTGATCAAAAACAGGATGCGAGCCCCGGGGCAAGCACTACAATTGAAAAACACAATGGTCACCGGAGGGGAGGGATCAACAACAATTTGAAGGGGAACTGGGACACACAAATAAATACACACACATAAAACTATCCCCCATATTTTCCCATATTTTCTGGGTTTCTGTCTTCCCCCCCACTGCCTATACTTTCTCATATTTTCTGGGAATCGCCGATTAATTGTGTCTGTGTGTTTTTTCCCCTCCTGACAATTACTTGTCAATAGCGAGAGTTCAACAACAACGACACCGACGACATGCGGCGCCCCGGCAGCACAAACGCCTACGCGGCGGGCCCCCCTCCACCCCATCCCGGCTCCTGCTTCCCAGCCCAGCCCAGCCCAACCCAGCCCCAGGGCGGCTGAGAGGGCGGGAGGTCTGGAGGAGGAGGGGAGAAGAGCACGGGGGGGGAACGGGGCAACGAGGAGGAGTGAGAGAGGGGAGGGCGGGGAGGATAGGATCTCGCTTGTGGATCTCGCAGGTACCAGGCCTCCCCCCCTGGGAGGGGAAGGGGAGGGGAGGGGAAGAGGGATGGGAGGAAGGGGAATTACAACATTACAGATATTGCGACCATGTCCGATACAAAATTCGCAGAGCCCGACCGCCCCAGGCCTCTGACGCTGAGTGGCAGCCGCTGACACCGCAGATTTCTGAGTGGATTGAGGACCTGAAGCTGTTCGACGTCAGGAGGGAGGGGGCGAAGGAGGAGGGAGGGAGGAAGAAGGGAGGAGGAGGCAGGGAGGTGGGGGAAGAGGGGAGAGAACAATACATATACATATAGAGAGAGGGAAAAAAAGGGAAAGAGAAAGAAAGAAAGAGAGAGTGAGCGGAGGGAGGGGGGACGAGGGGCGGGCAGAGAGTGCAACGAGGGAGGGGGCGGAGGAGGATCTGGGGAAGGGAGGGACGGGGAGGGAGGGCAGGGATGCATCGCTGGGCAGCAGCCTCTCGTACCAGCCGAAGGCGGCGCCGCCGCCGCCGACGCGACCCTCGTAGGCCCGCCTCGCCTCCAGCCGCAGGGTCTCCTCGGCGTCCCCGCCCGCCGCGCGCTCCCCCAGCCGCGACAGGAAGGAGGACCGCCTCGCCTCGTGGGCTCCGCCCGCGCCCTCCAGGTGCAGGAAGCCGCCCCCGGTGGCCTCGGCCAGGTCGCGGTAGCGCCCCAGGTCCCCCTCGGAGAGGCCCTCGACGTGCAGCGCCTTCCTGACCGCGTGGCCGAGCCCCGAGACGAAGACGATGTGGAACTCCACGTCGTACCCCGCGGACCGCAGCTCCCGCATCATCGGGTCCATGCCCCTCATCCCCCGGTATGGCTCTGGGCTGTCCGTGTCGCCCCCGTCGGTGATCACGAAGGCCCGCAGGCGCCCTGCGCCGGGGCGGTACGTCTCTCGGATGTCCTCGAGGATCATGTGCCACATGTAGGTCGTGCCGCTTGTCCCGTCCCAGTGGGCCTGGACGGCCAGTGCGGAGAACCCTCTGGAGCGCGGCAGCACCAGTCGCTTGTAGCTGCCGAACTTCACGACCCTCGTGGGCCCCTCCTGCAGCAGCTTGCTCATGTCTGCGAACAGGTCGTGAGCCATCGGCAACTTGGTCAAGCACATCGAGCCACTGTCGTCGAGGTACACCACATCCTCCCTGCCGCTAATGGCCACCGCGTCGCCGAAGGCCCTATCGCCTGCGAGGTCGACGATGGCCTCCAGGAGGGACGCCGCTATGCCCGCTCCAGACGCCCTGGGCTTCGAGGCGACGGCGGCCTTCAGAGCGAGCTTCGCCCAAGGGAACACCGCGGCCGCCAGCGCGCTGCCGCGGCCGCCGCCGCCAGCGTCTGCTTCTGCTGCTGCGGGCACGGCAGGCGCGTGCGCGCCGCTGCGCGCGCACGGGCGGGCAGGAGGGCCGACGGCGGCCAGCGTGGCGGGGCACGCCCCGTCGAGCTCGGCGTCCCAGGAGCCCGCGCTGTGCCCCAGGCCGTGCCTCGCGGCCCCCTGCTCGGCCGCGGAGAGCTCTTCCCAGCGCCGCAGCCTGCTCGGCGGCGGGGGCCGCCTGCCCTCCCAGGACTCCTCGGCCCAGCCGAGGGCCTGCCACGCCTCGCGCTGCGCCTGCGGCAGTGACCGCCAGGGCCCCCCGCGCGCCGCGCCGGCGGCCCACGGCGCACCGCCGCTGGCCCCCGCGCGCCGCGCCGGCGCGCCTGGCGGCAAGGCTGCCGCGGGCACAGGCCTCGCGCGGGGCCGCAGCAGGGCGAGTGCGGGCCGCCGCATGGCCAGGGGGCGAGGCGCGGCCGAGGAGGGCGAGAGGAGCTGCTCGGACTTGCGCTCTGTGCGGAGCGGCGGCCTGCTCTGGGCCAAGAGTGGCCACGTATGTGCGGGGTGCAAAGGAGGGACGGTGAGGAGGGGGGGGAGGGGTCCTCCTCCTCCGCCTCCTCCTCCATCCTCCCCTCCTCCTCCTCCTCCCCCCCCTCCCCCTCCTCCTCTCCTCCTCCTCCTCCTCCTCCTCCTCATCCTCCTTCCTCTCCACTCCTCCTCCTCCTCCTCCTCCTCCTCCTCACTCCTCTCCTCTCCTCCTCCTCCTCCTCCTCCTCCCCCTCCTCCTCCTCCTCCTCCCTTCCTCCTGCTCCTCCTGCTCCTCCTCCTCCTCCTCCTCCTCCTCGTCCTCGTCCCTGTGCAAGAGGGACGGTGAGTATGGGGGACCAGATGGGGCAGGCAAGGTTGCACGCATAACTGCGAGGGCCGCACACCACACGGGCGAGCTTTGCGCTGGCAAGGGCGCGGTGGCGAAGTGCGCCGTATGCAGAGCGGAAGGTTGAGGGAGAGGGATTGAGGCAAGCTAGTTGCGATAGCGTCACATCTGACGCCCTACCCCTCCCTCCCCTTCCCTACCATGGCGTAGACTCGTAGACCTCCTATCTATTCGCACAGTCGCATGTGGAGCAGGGCAATGATCCCAAGAGGCTACGCGATGGATGGGAAAGCATAGCGTAGAAGGGCACTGCAGAACATAGCATGTCATAGCATGGCGTGGCATCGCGTAGAGAAGCATTGCATCATAAGGCAATGCAACACGAAGTATAGCATCGCACAGCGGCGCACAACACCGCATCGCATTGCTTGCCGTGGCATGGCATCGGAAAACTTGGAAAATGACTGGCCCGTCTACGAACGGACAAGGCCTGTCCATAATGCCGGCTCCATGCCCTCCGCAACTGTGCCTGCCCGATGAGGGCGGCGCTGCAGCAAGAACACCACTTTAGAAGAACTGCAAACGACCGGATGCACAAAACACAGCCGAAAAAACAAATCATGAAATCCTTTGTAATAAACAATGCGCGGAGGGGGCGGGAGACCCTCCGGATAGAGTCAGGGGAGAGAGAAGAGTCGTATTCATATTGTGTAGTTGTACAGGGAGTGAAGGGGGAAGAGGAGGGGGAGGGGATGACGTTGAGGAGAGGAGAGGAAGGAAGGGGAGGGAGGAGGAGAAGGAAAGGGAGTGATGGGGCCCAAGCTCGGGTGGATCCCGAGCGCAACCGATAAGTTATAATATAAGAGCAGGAGCCTGCGACCAGATCGGTATTCAACCTCGTCCAACCTTTCCTCATCCGCCTCTTCCCATTGTCACCTTCTACTCCTCATCCCCCTCGTCCACTTCCACCTCCTCCTCCTCCTCCTCCTCCTCCTCCTCCTCCTCCCCCTGCTCGTCCGGATCCTCGTCCACCACATCTGCGTCTTCACCTCCTCGTCGTTCTCTCATCTTGTGCCTCCTCCGCGTTCTCACCTCACCGCGCGCCAAACATCCTGCACTCTGGCTTGAGGTGCACCTCGGACTCGATCTTGGCGCCCTCACAAGGCTTTCCGCACTTGTTGTTTGGCACCCGCACGCTCCGGTGCCGGAAGTGCAGGCCGATGCAGCCGTCGCCCTGCGGGTGGAGCTCCAGAAGGATAGATCCAGGAATAACGGAAGCGGCTGCAGAGGCGGCTCCAGGACCTGGGACGAGGGATTTCTCAAGGGTAGAAGCGGGCGATGGCCAGAACTGCTTAGAGGTCAGTGGTAAAAATGCGATCCAGCAGACACGCAGAAGCTAAGGTAGGGCCTGTTAAATAAGCCTTACTGTGACCAAATTGGGCCTGACCAACGAAAACCACATCAGAGCAACGTGGGTGAACGCTCACCGTGGGACGCCTTGAAATAGAAAAGACGAGCGTACAGCATCATGGACGGAACACGGATGATGCGCTCGCTGGCGGAGGAAGGGGAGAACAAGGAAGAGGAAGCAAGGAGAGACATGGGATATTGGAAGACTGTCTATATGACTCGGCTATAACGCGGAACGGCACGCACAACACTCACTGCGTATAGCCTCCTGCTCCGCTTCGCGAAACCATCATTTTAAGTGCGACCACCATGTAAAACGCACCTTGATCACCGATGTGGTTCCTCCGTGCGCACAGGCGTCTGAACGAGATGGATCAGACGAGCCTCGCAAACTCAATCCGCCGGCCCCCTTGTGGGGCCACCAGGCTGCGAGGCACGGGTTCGCAGTTTCCAGTACCAATTGTAGCTTGTAGTTTCCAGTGTTACAGTTCTGCTTCTTGCTGGTTACTGCAACTAGTTGATTGACCGCGCGAGGGGGGGGAGGCCCAAACGGGATTTTTAGCACCCCCTGGGCGCGTTGTCTGAATAGCTGGGGGGGCTCGAAATCGGCTCGAAATCGACACCCCTCACGCAGATCCGCGGGGTCAGGGTCCAAAAACACATGGGATTTGCCACATTTCTGAAATTCGGTGCCACCCCTCACGCAGATCCGCGGGGTCAGGGATCCAAAAACACATGGGATTTGCCACATTTCTGAAATTCGGTGCCACCCCTCACGCAGATCCGCGGGGTCAGGGTCCAAAAACACATGGGATTTGCCACATTTCTGAAATTCGGTGCCACCCCTCACGCAGATCCGCGGGGTCAGGGTCCAAAAACACAGGGATTTGCCACATTTCTGAAATTCGGTGCCACCCCTCACGCAGATCCGCGGGGTCAGGGTCCAAAAACACAGGGATTTGCCACATTTCTGAAATTCGGTGCCACCCCTCACGCAGATCCGCGGGGTCAGGGTCCAAAAACACAGGGATTTGCCACATTTCTGAAATTCGGTGCCACCCCTCACGCAGATCCGCGGGGTCAGGGTCCAAAAACACATGGGATTTGCCACATTTCTGAAATTCGGCGCCACCCCTACGCAGATCCGCGGGGTCAGGGTCCAAAAACACAGGGGATTTGCGACATTTCTGAAATTCTGTGCCGCCCTTCACGCACATCCATCGCAAGGCGTGGTAACCCAAACTGCGAGAACTCCCTCGGCCCTTTAATCGCAAGCTGTGGTAACCAAGCCCGTAAACCATACACGTCTTACCAATCGCCAGGTGTGGTAACCCCTCTTGTGATCAGTTGGTTTTGCTGATTGCGAATCGGCTTCGCATGAAGTTTCGATACTGCTTCACGACAGCGCCAAGGCCTCATGACTTAGCTCTTCCATGGCCTATTCTCCGAGAGAGGGGGCCGGCGGCAGGGGGCGAAACCCTTACGGATAATATGAAAGTTATGTTGTCCACCGGCTAACATCACATTCAGTCGTTGCCCCAAATATCACATCTACAACTTCACCATGTTCTTCTCCGAAAGGTGCCGCAGAGTGCGATACCACAACTAGGTCGAGCTTGCGCAACCTTCCGAACATATTTCCAGCACAGCACGTGAGGCATGTCACGGCCATCGACATGTCGTCGGCTCACACCGTCTGGCCCTGTCACCGCTGGTATCGAGAGAGGCCTGGGCATTGTCTGCTTCGGTGGGGGAGTGAACGCCGAACGGTCCAATAGGAGAATGTACGTCGACGTTTTGTCCAGAGCGGCTCCCTTACCAAAGCAGCGCGAGACTGCATCATAAACTACCACCGAACAGATGATCAAGAAAACTGTCGTTGAAGAACTCTGGGCCAGCCTCCCGGAGGTTTCTTAAAACAAGCCTGGGCCGATTTCTGCCGCTCACGCTGGAGACTGCCGGCCGTTCTCAAAGAACTGGGCCAGCTTTCCGGCAAGCTGGCCCAGAATCGCTGGTCCAGATTTTCAGGATGAGGTCTCTTAATCAGATACTCGACTGTAGTTCAAGAGCTTGCTCAGACCCATTACGTTGCCTGGATAGGAAACACATCGAGATGAATGGCGCGTCTCTTGCTCGGTGAGTACATATGTCCTCTCTTCGAGCTTCCGAAGCCACCTGCAGCGCCCCGAGCATGGGCTTTTTAACAACTCCTTGAGGATTTTGATGACCTGCCGCCTGCCTTCCCAAGCAAAGTCAGCGGCGCCAGCATCCGGGGGCCCTTCACGGGCGCTGACCGGGGGAAGCGAGCAAGGGGAAGGCGACGCTCGGGTAGCACAACGGCGGAGGGCTTCGCGCATCGGCTCACGCAGCTGCTGCTTCTGGAGCGCCTCCCGTCGCCCGAGGCGCCAATGGTGTATCGAGAAACGCGCCCGGCGGCGGGGCCGAAACCGGCTGCGCGCCGCAGACTCTGGCCCCGCCCCCCTCCTTCCCTCATCATTGGATAATGGAATTTCCCAGTCGCGACCGACGAGAACGGTCGCTACCGATTTTGGTTCCAATTTCGGTATCGGTCGCGACCATTTGTTTCAAATGGGTCGCGACCGATCGGTAACGACCAATCGGTCGCGATCGATGGCGACCGGTCGCGACCGATTCGCGATCGGTCACGACCGATTTGGAGTGCCGATCGGTCGCTACCGATCGCGACCGAACAAAATCGGTATCCAATGATCTGGGTTGCCCAATCCCCCGCTTTCGCCCGCCCATCCCCCGAGACGAGACCCAGACCCCCGACGTCGGCCCCCACGGAGGTCTGGACCCCTTCCCAGGGGACCGGCTCTTCATCCCGAGCCGTTTTGGGGAGGGCTGGGGAACGGCCGGGAAAGGCCCGGGGCCGTCATGACGGTCTCGAGGCCCCGGAAGTGCCCTTGGAGGCCGAAGATATGGCGCAAAACCGTCCAGCGTGATTGCTTCACAGCGCGAGACGGTCTGGACTTCGCTTCGTCCGCACCACCCCGAGAGGACGAGGGCGCGGAAGAGGAGGAGGAGGAGGAGGAGGAGGAGGAGGAGGAGGAGGAGGAGGAGGAGGTGGGCGAGGACGACGATGTGGAGGACGAGGAGGACGAGGAGATGAGGAGGACGATGAGGACGAGGTGGAGGAGGCGGAGAGGAGGAGGAGGAGGAGGAGAACGAGGAAGAGGAGGAGGAGGAGATGGAGGAGGAGGAGGAGGAGAAAAATAGGAGGAGCAGGAGGAGGGGGAGGAGCAGAGGAGGAGGAGGGAGGAGGAGGAGGAGGAGGAGGAGCAGGAGGAGGAGGAGGAGGAGGAGGAGGAGGAGGAGGAGGAGGAGGAGGAGGAGGAGGAGGAGGAGGAGGAGGAGGAGGAGAGGCAGGCGAGCGCCTCGTACCACTCGCCCCACTGGGAGAAGCGGCAGTCCACCTGCACGCGGGGCGGCGGGCGGCCCTTTCGGGAGGACGCGAGGGGTGCAGGGAGGGAGGGGCACGGGCAGGAGAGATGACCAGGAAGATGGCCCTCCCTCCTCCTCGTCTCCTCCTTCCTCCTCCCTCGGACTCCCGCCTCCCTCCTCCTTCCCCCCCCCACTCCCCCCGCCCCCCTCTCCCCCCCCTCCATCCATCCCTCCCCTCCCCCCTTTCGAAGCAGCCCCCACCGCGGGGCCGCCTGCCGCGGGCACGGACGAGGCGAGGGCCCAGGAGCAGATCGATCTGGATGCCCCTCCCTCCTCCTGGAGCAACTTGGTTCTGAGGCAAAGGGGTCCTGAGGTTTCTTGCCATCATGTGTCTCGCCGTTTTCCAGCTCCCAGGGCACTTCCCATGCCACGGGGCCATCAAGAAGCTTGTGTCATGGCTGCTTGTTGGAGTGACCCGTCGCCGGAGAGACCTTTCGTGCGGGGCCCGCAGGGGTCTCCCCCTGCACTGGCCTGCGCGCTTGGATCTGGCCTCCTGCAACCCCCGACAAACCGCGCACACGAGGTCACTCCTGCCCAGCCTGGGGTCGCTCTTGCGTGTGGGCGGACTTCGGGATGCAGGGCTGGCCCTGTCCTGGGGAGAGCCCCGTGGCCCAGGTCCCGCTCCCTTCGGGGCTTGTGTCCCTAATGCTAGAGCTCGCAATTCAGGGGCCCTTGGAGAGACCCCTCTGCCGCCTCCTTTTTTTTTTCTTAGCCAAGCTCCGAGGCGGACCACCGCCTGCAGCGTCAGATGGCGCCTGGCCAGGCGACTCCACCCGCACACACGGGAGCCGGCCTCGCCAAGCGCCAGAGGCAAGCAAAGCACAAACAGCACAGTATGGCAAGGCAGGCGCAACCTGGAGCTGGCTGGTCCCCACGACGGACAGGTCCAGGAAGGAAACAACAAACTGAATCAACACCTTCGCCAACTCCAGGATGCGTCACAGTAAGGACGCTCACGCCAACCGTCGAGCCCGCACGGAGTTCGAGGGCCAGCAAGGGCCTCCTGCTCGAGCGGGCTGCGCGCGAGAGGAGGAGAGCACAAGGAACAGGACGGTGTGAGGAGAATGAGGAGGAAGAGGCTGACCAGCCGCTGGGGGGCGGCCGCAAGGGGAGCCCATTACGCCAGGCCCATTCGCTCCGCCTCCGCGCCGCCCCCACTATGCCGAGCTTGCACACCAGGCCAGAGGAGCTCGGAAGCAGCGAGAAGATCGGTGAAGTGGATGATCAAGACTGTGAAGAGAGGGAAGGCAAGGCTCGCCCCTGGTGGCACGCCGCCAGGACGACGAGTGAGCTCAGCACGAATTTGGGGGACGGGGAGGCTTGGGGTGGCGCTCGACGGTTTGTTTCACCCGCCTTACCACTTGCGCCTCCCGTGCCCTCCCCGTCCCCTACAGAAGGCCACGCGGCCTCCCCCTTGGTCGGCCCCTCGATAGTTCAACTACTCCGTGGTAGCGCAGAGCACGAGTGAGGCCTTCGTACACGAGGGGCCGCCAAGGGGGTGGCGAATACAATTTCTCCTCCTCCACCAACTAATCAAACAACTCCTCCTCCAAGATGTTGTCGCCCGAGGCGACAGCACATGCGGTAGCCGCAAGCGGCACCTCACAGCCTACAGGCTGGGCAAGCACAAATAAGTCCACCCTCCTGCACACACATCCGCAACTTACAAGCTCCTACGAAGATTCGCCGACAGAGTCATGAAAAGAAGGGCCCTTTTGAAGGCCCGTCCAATCAGTGCGCCAACAGCCCGTGGAAGTTCATCGGCTTGGTTCTGTTGTCCGTGGTAGACATGACAGCAGCGTTCGGGTCCATGATGACGAAGTTCCAACTCATAATCGCAATGCGTATGAATAATCATCATCTCCCTAGCCCCTGTGGAACCAAACATACAACTATCAATCTCAGTATGGCCCACTCGAGCACCAATAGTCTCGAAGTCTGGCATGAAATTCTGAATGTTGTCGTAGGCCTTGCGCTCCACTATGACCGCCACTGGAACGCCAACCATAGTACCTGCCTGCAGTAGTCTCCACGCCGACCTCACTTGAGAATTGTCGCCAGAAAAGCTCTGTCGGCGTTGGGGAGGCAGGCGTCGGATACCCCAGGGTTCAGTTGGAGTACGCCATTGATCAGGTCCGACTCCCAACCACGTTTTCCCACTAAGATGAATAAGAATAGCCCCTACATAGCCTGCCTGCATACGAGCAACGATCAACCTCACCTGAGCCTCTTGTAATCCAACAACAGTGCCATCTTCGTCCTGCCCAGGGTATGCTTCAATGCCAAGGCCACATGCTTGATGAAGCGCGTCTGAGAACTCAACGTCGCACTCGGCTTGAAAGACATTGAGCAGTACCATTGTCCCGAGGTCGCCAGTCTTCATGCGTCGAACTGCGTTGGGTACCTCACGTACTGGTAACCATACCTCAGGGGCTTTAACAGGAACCAGCCTGTCACCTTTGCCGCCAAGAGGGTCTCCGTAGCGAGCTCGCTGCTTAACTACCCTGTAGTTGTATCCTTGCTGGACTTGCAACCTCTCGCGTAGTAGATCTTCCTGCCGTAGCAATTCAGCTTCGTCAGCGGAAAGAAGGTCCCCGTTGTACAGCAGCCATGATAAACACCTGTTGCCTCGTCTGCGTAGGTGCCGTAGCAGATTGGAGCGATCTCCAAACAATGTGCCACACGCCCCACACTGAGTGCCTCTTGCTGCAAGTTGGGCTCCATCAATCGGCTGGTGATCCAAGAAGTGTTTGCGCCAGGCCGACTCCTTCGAGCATACCCATCCACAGGAATAGCACACAAATTTCCTCTCCAAATCCGCAGTGACCGCCGGTGCCATCTGTGCATTAAGACTTCTTTCTGCCATCTGCATTTGGATATTCTCAAGTTCTCTATACACATGGTACACCCATGCAGTCTTGACCTCGTTCAAGAAACTCTTCGTGTTCAGTCTGGCGTATTGGAACCACTGCTGCACCGACCAGGCTGCACGAGATCCATCCTTGCTGTAGCTATCCAGCCACTCCAAGTCGTCACGAAGCAATGAGACCCAAGATCCGCGTTCGCCAGCCAATTGGTCGAGAAGAAACCATAGAACCACAGGAGCCTGCAAAAACATCTTCCCAAAGTACATTAACCTCTTCTTACGAATAATATCTCTCAGATGCAATCTCCTCGCAGAACATAGGACTTGTTCGTCGTTGTAGAAGCTAGTGGTCTGACGATGGTGCTGCAAACCTTGTGCCACTCGATATGTCGCTATTCGAGGTGACTCTAGTCGTTGTAGGAGTGACTCGCTGAGTGCTGTCCACGTCTCGGCCAAGTAGGTGAGATGCACGTTGGCCAGGGTATCAACAAGATTCGTTTTAGCTGGCCCCGTCATACCACCAAATTTCGAGATCATCTTCTTAACAGGCATAGCCGCAATCTTCTGCTTCTGCACCAAGTGTGCTAACCGAGGGCCCATCTCGAGGCGACGGTTGATCATCGTCCCTAAGTACTTGTACTCCTTCACCACGTGCACCTGGATGTCCCATCGTGTAGGTATAATCAAAAGTTCATCTTCATTATCGAGTCGGTCTCTCAAGTCGGCAGGTGCTTGCCTGCTAGGTATGATAAACATGGCTGACTTGGATTTCTTGTAGTTAACCAAAAAGCCGTGCGAAAGCATGGCCACATGGACTGCATCCGCCACTTCACCAGCCAGTTGTATAGGATCTTGTCCTACTTCAACAGACTGCATAATCAAGGCATCGTCAACAAAGGAAATGTCTGTGAGATGGGGATCATCTTGTCGTTCCGCAGGTGCAAAACAGCTCTGAACTCCATCCGCCCGTAGCGGCAAGCTGGCACCTAGCGGTCGTAGGGCCTCGTCGATGCTCTTGAGAGGCTTGCAAAACGCTGCGTTGAAGATCGCGTCGGCTAAGGAGCTTCCTGGACGCGAGCTCCTGCGTGACCTGGCGACAGTATTTATAGTATTAGTGCCGAAGTGTGTGTCCCTATGTCCTTCGATCAGTAGAGCCAGAAGGTGAGGGTGCGCTCCAAGACCATCCAAAGCTGCTGGTTGTGAAAGGATAAAAGTCAACAGGGGAAGCATCGCTATGGGCAACTCATGATGGTGTATGATGTATTCGTCGTCTCCATCTGGGTCGCCAAGTCGAGGTAGAACCATACTACGCACTACGGAGTAAAAAGCCTGTACCAGGTCAATAAAGTACAGAATAGCCGATCGGCCTTGGAGCTGCGCCGCTTGAATAAACGAAACTGCAATGTGAACCAGCAACGCAGGGCCTTTGGCAGGTCGACCTCCACACTGAGTGTCGCGGAGGAGTATGTCCAGATATCGTGTGAGTTGCTGCCGTAAAAACTTATGCCAGCACTTGCTCACCACCCCATTCAACAAGATGGAGCGGTACGTCTGTAGTTGCTGCACAGGTCCACCTGTTTTGAGTAAAGGAAACACAGTACCGTGCTTCCAATCAAAGGGCTCCTGCTGGTACACGCTCGTCTTGAACATGATCGGCCCATAGTGGCGAGCCGCGGAACGAGGGCAGAGACGCAGAAGATCACCATGTATATCATCTTTCCCTGGAGCCTTACGCCGCTTGACTCGTGAAAACATTCCTGCCACCATTCCAACGTGCGGTAGGCACGCAGTGTCCAACTCTGTGCCATCAATATCATGATGCAGGCGCTCGTTATATTTTATCCTCAAGGCGTTATCGTCCATTAACTCTGCGTCCTCAATGTTCGCGAAGTATTCCAGTACCATCATATCGGCTTCCTTATCCGTCGTTGCCACCCGTCCTGCCGAGTCCACTAGCATAGGATATCTGCTGGACTTACCCTTCCTGCCTCCATACTTAAGCAGTATCTTAAGTAATCGCCATTCCCCATGTGGTTCATTGTTCGCAGCGCACACATCCATCTGCCTCGAGAGATCTTCCAAAAAGGCCGTACGGTCAGCATCAAC